TGTATGTATATATATATATATATATATATATATATATATATATATATATATATATATATATATATAACCGTTCACAATAATTGTTTTGCAATGAAACAAGTAATTTTTTTTTATTAAAAATGAATAAAAATTTTAATTATTGTATTCAAAAAGAGTAACTTTTAAAATAAATAAATATTAAATTGTTATAAAATAAAAATTAAATATATACAGTATATACTGTGTGTGTATTTTTAAAAAAAATACTCGTTTCATTGCAAAATATAATTATTGTGAATTTTTTTTCGTTTTTTATTAACGACTATACAGTTCTTGAAACTACTGGAGTCACAAATATAATTGTGGTTACTTAATTTAATATATTGACGCTCCCAGCTTCTGTTAATTAAAAAAAAAAAGAAAGAAAACAAGCAAGTTTATTAAAATGACAGCAGAACATGCAGAAGGAAATATGTTCACTTATGAAATATTGTGTTGGACAATAGGAGGCCTTCAAGTCAAAAAGGTTGAAAACACCCTAGAAATGGTATAGTAGCACACTAAACTGAACATGTTAGAAACCACATAGCTGTGAGATTTGCCAAAACAAACTAGAAAATTTTGAAATTGTGTTGTAGATGTTCTAGAAATGACTATTAATGTTATAAATGTGTCATTTCAGGTTTGAGTTCTGTGAACCACACTTTGTGGTCGGGAATTGTCTGGAGATTTCCTCAGACAGTCACCAGTACGACCGCATCTACTGCGGCGCTGGAGTTCAGAAGGACCACGAGAACTACATGAAAATCCTGCTGAAAGTCGGAGGGATTTTGGTCATGCCGATAGAGGATCAGGTATAACACAGAAGGATACGTACAGTGGCCATGGGCCTAAACAAAGTTCGGAGACTTCAGTCACACTTACAAATATATGAATGTCATTAGACCACAAAATCTCAACCCAGATCTGTCTCTCTCAAATGTTGCAAGATCTTTTCTCATCACTAATTTACTTTGCTTCATCATTTTTAATTCACTGGTGTTTTGGTGATTATAGTCAGCTCTTTATTTTTTATTTTTATTGCTTTAAAATTGGTTAAAATTATTAAGAATAGTTTTTGTGAATTAAAATAAAGCTGAAATAAAATTAAATATTAGATGACAAATTTAAACTTAAAATGCAAGTGAAAATTAGTAGTGTTGCCTTGGCAGCTTAATGAAATAAAATGTTTAAGTATTAAAATTACTAAAATAAATGAATAAAAAATGAACGCTCAATAGAAATATAAAAAAATAAGCCAATAAAAATTACTAAAGCACATAACAAAATAACTACAATTAAATAAAATAAACATTCATATTAATTCTTATTCATATTAATAAATTAATATTATATAAACAATACTAAAATAAGTAGAGCGGGAATTGTCTGGAGATTTCCTCAGACAGTCACCAGTATGACCGCATCTACTGCGGCGCTGGAGTGCAGAAGGACCACGAGAACTACATGAAAATCCTGCTGAAAGTCGGAGGGATTTTGGTCATGCCGATAGAGGATCAGGTATAACACAGGAGGATACGTACAGTGGCCATGGGCCTAAACAAAGTTCGGAGACTTCAGTCACACTTACAAATATATGAATGTCATTAGACCACAAAATCTCAACCCAGATCTGTGTCTCTCAAATGTTGCAAGATCTTTTCTCATCACTAATTTACTTTGCTTCATCGTTTTTAATTCACTGGTGTTTTGGTGATTATAGTCAGCTCTTTATTTTTTATTTTTATTGCTAAGTAAAATTAAATGAAATTGGTTAAAACTATTCAAAATAGTTTTTGTGAATTAAAATAAAGCTGAAATAAAATTTAATATTATATGACAAATTTAAACTTAAAATGCAAGTGAAAATTACTAATGTTGCCTTGGCAGCTTAATGAAATAAAATATGTTTAAGTATTAAAATTACTAAAATAAATGAATAAAAAATGAACGCTCAATAGAAATATAAAAAAATAAGCCAATAAAATTACTAAAGCACATAACAAAATAACTACAATTAAATAAAAAAAAGGAAGAAAATAAACATTCATATTAATTCTTATTCATATTAATAAATTAATATTATATAAACAATACTAAAATAAGTAGAGTAACCACAGCTGTGGTTCATTATATTAAATATCAACATGTTCCACTAAGGACAAACAAACAAAAAGTCACTCAGTACTGACTCTATTCATTTTACACGGTTTTATCATTTCAAGCCAAGCAAATGTCTTTTTGTGAAATGTTTTGCTTGGCAAGTGTACTTTTGCTTTTTATTCCAAATAAATGCCACTTCAGTCATTCAGTTACTTGTGTGTATAAAGTGTGCAAATACATTTTGGAGTAGTAGAAATTGGCATTTTAAAATGTTGAGTAGAATGGTAAACCTACAGTATATACAACTGCTTGAAAAAAAGACTATAAAAATGCATCTTTTGTTGTCTATATTTCGCATCTAAAAAGTTCTCAATGAGAAAATTGTTAAAATTGCATTTAATGCAGTATTTATAATGTTATATAAATGCATGATATTGTAGAATATTAATAGTAACTTTTATGATCCTGTTGAGCATGGAATGTCTGAGCTCTTTATTAGTTGAGTGTTTGTGTGTTGTTGCAGCTGACTCAGATCACCAGAACCGGTCAGAGCTCCTGGGAGAGTAAGAATATCCTGGCGGTGTCATTTGCTCCTCTTGTTCCGCAGAGCAGGACAGATGGCTGCAAGCCTGAAGCTGTGGTGCTCCGTGAGTCTCCGCCTCTTTTATGACCTCACACTGTCCTGGCCAATCAGCTGCTGCTAGGGACAATGTTACAGACTGATTTATTGCCGATTCCATTACTAACCCGATTCATTCAGAACAGTAAACAACACTACAGGCCAAGCCTGTAATAGTTTTTTTTCCTTTTCTTTTTCCATGCACTGGTTAGTCTTGAGATTTTGGGCTATTTTGCTTCCATGACCTGTCTTCTCTCAGACTAGTGGATAGAAAACATCCAAAGTACAGATTATAAAGAGTTTATTTTATTACACTTTATCTATTTGCACCTGTAGATTTCAGTTACCATAGACGTCTTTAAAGGCAGTTTTCTTAAAATTAGTTTTTTTTTCCATCAGTAATGCCTGCATACACTCTTAAAAATAAAGGTGCTTAAAAGGTTCTTCACAGCGATGCCATAGAAGAACCATTTTTGGTTCCATAAGGAACCATTCAGTCAAAGAACCATCTCTTTCTTACCTTTTTATAATCTGAAGAACCTTCTTTCGCCACAAAGAACATTTTGTGAAACAGAAAGGTTCTTCAGATGCTAAACGTTCTTTATGGAACCATTTAGACAAAAAAGGTTCTTCTATGGCATCGTGAAGCACATTTTATTTCTAAAAACATTGTGAAACTTATTATTATGATTATTTTCGCTGTTGTTGACCGATGCCCATAGCGCAACGGCGCTGTGTGTCGGCTATCGGCACCAACATTAAATGGATTTTATGGATTTTTTTACGTTGGGAATGTAGGAATTTGCAGTGGGAAGTTGTTTTTAACTGCCCAGTTTTATTTATTTATTTACATATTGATTGATTGATTGAGTTGGGACTACATAAATCATTTTTGTTGCATCGAGTAAACATTTGAAATTAACATTTTACATATTGAGTAAACAGTTTTGCATATTTAAGTAGGTTGGACATAGTAATGTTTAATTAAATAATGTTTAAATAAAACAAATTATTAGTTTGTTTCTCAAGAAGATACTATTTCAGTCTGTCTACTTCAAAATTTAATTTTTTTTTAACCCAATGTTACTTGACAATTTTTAGTAATTATTTGTAAAAAAAAAATAATAATAATAAAAATTCTGAGTAAAAATAGTTTAAACTAAATCCTTAAAAAAATTTTTTCCAGTGTAGAAACCAAATGCTAAGCACTTAAAGGGTTGCTTAAAGGGTTAGTTCACCCAAATGAAAATTCTGTCATTAATTACTCACCCCCACGTCGTTCAAAACCCGTAAGACCTCCGTTCATCTTCGGAACACAAATTAAGATATTTTTGATGGACTCTGACAGCTCTCTGACCCTCCACAGACAGCAAGGGTACTACCACGATCAAC